ATTTGAAAAATGTTTGAGAGCTCTTTTTGCTCTCTATTTTGTTGATTTGGAAGAAATGGTTTAAAAGCTGTTTTGCTCTATATTTTTGTTGATTTTGAAAATGTTTGAGAGCTGTTTTAGCTCTATGTCTTGGTTGATTTGAAGGAGAGTTTAAAGCTGCTTTTGCCGTATGTTTTGGTTGATTTGGAGGGGATTTGAGGGCGACTTTTGTTTTATATTTTTGTTGATTTGAGAGGAAGTTTATTTTAAATGTTAGAAATTATGTTTGGGGGCTCATTTTTCATTCCTCTTGCTGCCCCCTGATGAAATACATGCTGGATATCCTTTTTAAATGCTATAAATTATGTTTGGGGGCTCATTTCTCACTCCTCTTGCTGCCCCTTGATGAAATACATGCTGGATATCGTTTTTAAATGCTAGAAATTATGTTTGGAGGCTCATTTCTCACTTCTCTTGCTGCCCCTTGATGAAATACATGCTGGATATCGTTTTTAAATGCTAGAAATTATGTTTGGGGGCTCATTTCTCACTTCTCTTGCTGCCCCTTGTTGAAATGTATGCTGGATTTGAGTCTTGGTTTTGGGTTGATGCCTTAGCCGTGAGCTTCATATACATTTAGCTGGATTTGATTTTTTTTTGGTTTTGGGTTTTTGCCTCACCCACGAGCTTTTGATTAAAATTGAAGTTGAAAGGCTTTGATAATAGTATGATTTTTAGAGGTACAAAAGGATGTTCCCTATGAATTGTTATCCTATGTTTTATGAAATGTAGAAAGCTCTTGAAACTTTATTTTGAGTTTGATATAAATTGAAGTCATGATGGGTTTGGAAATCCATAAAAGCGCCACTTGGAAAAGATATCCTTCTCGGGATTGATCCGATTATTTTTCTTTTAACAAATTTAAATGTTTTAGACCGATACATTCACGAGTTTTATTGATTTAATTTGGTTTTAAAAAATGGATCGGTCTCATTTTCGTTCATTTCATTTTATTTTATTTTATTATTATTTTTTTTAACGGTCAAGTTAAAAATGAGAATTTCCGATTTAATTAAATTCAGAAATGATTTATAATCTCAAGAAAAATAGGAAGGAAAGAGAAGATGAGAGAGTTGAAATTGAAATTTGAATTTTTGGGATGATACAATCTAAAGAGGAGATAGGGTAGCGAACAATCCACCTCTTCTTTTACATAAAAAAAATAAATTGCAAATTGGAAGACTAATTGAAATCGGAAGAAATGAGAATTTAGATAACGATTGAGTGATTAGTGGACTCACTCTTAGATTCTTTAAGCTTTGAATCAATTTAAAATCCATTTTTTTTAACTAGGATTGAAGCACAACTCAACTCTTTTGCCAAAACTATGAATTTCTCCTGGGTTTTAGGAGCCTGATAGCGAACTAAGCTGGATCTATAGATGTTTGAGGGTTAGTGGAAATGCACTTAATTGAGATTAGACACTACTTCAAGTTTAACCTAAAGTGCAGACATCCTAAATTTTAGAAGCACAACTTAAGAGATAGTTTACCATCCTAATTTTCAAATGACCCTAAGAAATCCAAACATCTAACCTCAGTTTAGGAGATAAGTAGGATACTAGGCACGAGGGTGCACTAGATAGTGATTCATAACTGATTTAATTAAATCAAATAATGAAATTCTTACCTTAATTTGACCAAAACTGAAACCCAATGCTCCGGGATTTGAGTTTGTCCTACATTCAAATCCTCCTGACAATTGGGGACATTCCAATATCACATATAAACTTCATATTCTTGGTCTTTTATATGTGGTATGATATTTCATTATATTTATTTATCTTTTCTCTGCGATTTACCTGTTTCTATTAAGTCTTTTTCAGGTTATACCTTGCTCTTTTACACGACGATAATAGCTAAATTTAAAGGAGCGATGAATCTCTCAGGTGTACAGGTTTAATTTACGTTACA